TTGAGTGTTAGAATCTGCCTGTTCCTATAACGTGTTCTTACCTTCGGGGAAGTTCGGAGCAGCACAGACCGTTCATCGGGGTATTTTTCCAGCCGCCATGGGCCCTTACTAGACGACTTTCTCAGGACCAGCCAGCAGCGGCGGTAAATCTAGGAGGGGCAAAGGGCAGACATTAGGGGAGACTGGAAGCACGTGATTATATCTGTTACACTACGTGGACATTTCTAAAGTGCCCCAAAATACACAATTTAAAATATTAATTCAAAAACCAGACAGAAGAAAACCTCGGAATACAAAGTAAAATGAGGGTCAGCTTCTTGGGTAAATCTTTAGCAACTCTGCCTTTAACACATTCTCGCACACAGTAAGTACACACACAGTAAGTACACACAATACACACAGTACATACAGTAAGTACACACACACAGTACATACATAGTAAGTACACACAGTACATACATACAGTAAGTACACACAGTACATGCACACAGTCAGGGCCGGACTGGCCCACCTGGAAATTTCCCGGTGGGCCGTCGGCACCTGGGGCCGGGCAGACAGCTGTCTGTGCTGGCGCCCGCAGGGGGCGCTGTGATGTCTCTGCTCCGCTTCCCCGCGCTCTACTTAATGAGACCGGGGCCGGTATATGATGTCATATTCCGGCCCCGGTCTCTTTAAGCTGTGTGCTGGGGAGCAGAGCAGAGACTTCGCAGTTCCCCCTGCGGCCGCCTATAGGTAGTAATTATGTGTGTACAGGGCCAGACTGGGGATACAAAGCAGTTCTGGAAAAAAAAAAATCTTTGCCAACCCCATAAGTCATTGCGCCATATATTGTTGCATGTAATATGTAAGGCGGTGTCTTGCCACCCCAGATGATTGAGTAATCTATATATACAGGTGATACTCGAAAAATTTGAATATCGTGCAAAAGTTCATTTATTTCAGTAATGCAACGTAAAAGGGGAAACTAATATATGAGATAGACGCGTTACACGCAACGCAAGATAGTTCAAACCATGATTTGTCATAAGTGCGATGATTATGGTTTACAGCTCATGAAAACCCCAAATCCACAATCTCAGTAAATTAGAATAATATTTCATGCAATCAATAAAACAAGGAGTGTACATAGAACAATATCGGACCTCTGAAAAGTATAAGCATGCATATGGATTCAGTACTTGGTTTGGGCCCCTTTTGCAGCAATTTCTGCCTCAATGCGGCGTGACATGGAAGCTATCAGCCTGTGGCACTGCTGAGGTGTTATGGAAGACCAGGATGCCTCAATAGCGGCCTTCAGCTCTTCTGCATCACCTGTATATATCAAATATATATTGCCTTTTCTAATCTAAAATATTGGTCCTTTCAGAATAAAACGTTTAATTATACAGTGAACATACTCACATGCAGATACAGACAATCTCACTGACACACAGTGGTGTATCCTGGTTTTGTGCTGCCCTAGGCAGGACAAAACTTAGGCGCGCCCCCCCCCCACCCATCTTTTCCCCCCGCCCCCTAAATACACACACACACACACACACTGACAGATACGCATACACTAGCTACCAGAAACACACACTCACTGACACATACACACAGTCAGACACACACACACAAACAAACACACTCACAGGCAAGCACACACTCACTAACAGACACACACACTCACTAACATACACACTAACAGACATACACACACTCACTAACAGACACACTCACACACTAACAGACACACTCACTAACATTAACACATTTATTTATTTTAAGCCCCTCCCAGCCTCCTTACCTTTGGGAGTGCTGGGGGGGAAGTGGTTCTCTATCTCCCTGGTGGTCCAGTGGCTGCTGGGTGGGCAGCATTGGCGGCTGGCGAGGGAGCACTTCCCCTGAGCGGTCTGCTCAGCGCCCTCGCGCGTCTCTGAATGAGGCTGGCAGCCGGGTTGATGACGTCATATTCCGGCTCCCAGCCTTACTCTGTGGCGCACGAGGGCGCTGAGCAGACCGCTCAGGGAAAGAGCTCCCTCGCCATCCGCCCGCCCAGCAGCCAGCATGTTTGTTAGCCGCAAGGCTAACAAGGCATTTGCCCTGGGCATTTGGGGGGGGGCGGCTTTTTTTTGCCACCCCCTGGAAAATGCCGCCCAAGGCAAATGCCTTGTTTGCCTCGTGGCTAAAATGTCCACAGGCTCATTGATACACGGCCTCATAGACAAACAATCTCACTGATATTTATAAGCTCATTGACATAAAAGAACAAGCTCACTCACTAGCAGGCGCACATACACAGCTTAATGTGGTGGTTCTGGTGTCTATAGCATGTCCCTACAGGCTTTTCAACGTATACACTGACTTTGCAGAGAAAAGGCAGTGTTTACCTTGCTTCAAAGTGACACTGCTAGTGACAGTCACTCAGACGGTCACTAGAGGTGCTTCCTGTGTCAGTGCACCTACATTCAGGGCCTCCACACTCTGTAGGTGCTGAACGTTCCCCATAAAGATACATTGATTCAATGCATCTCTATGAGGAGATGCTGATTGGTTTAGCGTTTTGCAGCCAATCCTATGGCAAAGCATTGGATTGGCTGAGATCATCAAGCTTGGCCAGTCGAGGGGAGAACAGCACGCTGCGTGGGGGAAAAAAGGGGGCAAAAACACTATTTTTAAACACACTTAGACACACACATACACCGTGACAGACACACACCCCGTGTGTGTGCGCCTGCTAGTGAGTGAGCTTGTGTTTTTATGTCAATGAGCTTATAAATATCAGTGAGATTGTTTGTCTATGAGGCAGTGTATCAATGAGCCTGTGTGTGTCAGTGAGATTGTCTGTGTCTGCATGTGAGTATGCTTACTGTATAATTAAACGTTTTACTCTGAAAGGACCAATATTTTATAATAGAAAAATCAATCATCTGGGGTGGCAAGACATAGCCTTACATATTACACGCGACAATACATGGCGCAGTGACTTATGGGACTGGAATAATTTTTTTTTACATGGCTGCTCTGTATCCCCAGTCTGGCCCTGCACACAGTAAGTACACGCAGTACATACACACAGTAAGAAATACCAAAAAACAAGTGAATACAAAGGCTCTGGTAATAACAGTCCTCTGGTAGAATCTTCAAGAAGTGTGAAGAGGAGAGCTGGTATTCCACAGGTTATCTCCACTAAAGATCCCAGTGAGGCTCAGGAACAAGTAATAAAATCCCATATAACAATAATCACAGCAAGCAAGGTAATCCACGAATATCCCAATACAGATCCCAATGACTGGACGACACACAGCATCAGGAGCAGAACTGAACTTTTAATCACTCAACCGTCTTTTAAAGCTTTCTCCCATGCAAGGGAGGGATTTACAGTAATTACACAATACACCAATCATACATGACTTGTCACCCACACAACCCCTCCCCTTAATATGACTCATAATCCCATTATGCAGTACACAGTTCCCCTCATTTTCTGGATGTACCCCTAAACCTAGGGGTACACCTCTAAATGTTACATCCCCTGGTAGCCCTGATCTGGGTGAGTGACATATTCAAAAATCACCCAGATCGGACCAGGGGTTCAGGAAATTCCTGGAGGTAATAAAAAGACCGACCGCGCTGGAGGTAACAGCCAAAATTGGTTCCATACGTTTTGGCCCTGCGGTCGGTCACAGAAAAAGGAAATAAAATGGCTTGGGTTATGGAGACTGGGGAGGATTCGGATAAACCCCCTTGTTCGTGGTGTTCTTTCTACGGTGATCCGTTCGGTAGTTTCTACACGAATTAATGGCAGTGTGGCGGTCTCAGCGGTGTTTGCCTAGTCGAGTGTCCGATTTGGATTCCAGACACTCGATGGCAAAACACCGCTGTTTGGGAGTTTAAGATGGCCGCTGCCACGTGTTCGTCTCCCGAACGGTGGCCACCCAGAGGACAAAGCACACACTGCACTGATAGCCAATTACTAGTATGCAACATTGTTGCGAATGGTAATTGGAGGCACACCTATTCCTGGGGTGGTCTGATTGTTCGGTAGTTTCACAATCAGGCGAATGCTGCATACAACATACATACATACAGCAAAATTAACCGAAAGCATATTAAAACGCATAATTTTGTGGACCGCCCAATGCCATCCGCCTCAAAGTGATAAATTATGGAAAAAATCAGCACCCTAATCAGTGTAACAGCTCATAAAACACACAATACAAGAAATCTATATAGGTGCGCTGTGTCTTTAAGACAAAACCTCATTTAAAGTGCAGCAAGTGTTAAAATGTGCAGAAGTGCAATTTGCTTTATAGTGCATACAGCTCCATGTCACTTATATAATGTGCAACAATGTGGTAAAAAACACTCACAATAAAATTCATATGTTGTTCATCTCAATGTATCAACATGTAAAAAAAAAAAGGGGGTAATAAAGTGCAGATAGTGTAAATCTGTGTAACTATATACAAAATATAATTTATATAATGTACACTCACAAAAGTAGAGCAGAATGAGACTGCTCTAACTGTGACAGCTCCAAATAACACTCCCTCCTCGGGCGGTAAAAGACAGAGGCAGTCGATCCACTTTTGCAGATTTATTGCACATAAAGCATACAGCAGCTTCATCCAAACTCCCCCTTTACCAACAGTATAAACATTCGGGTTACTAAAGTAGAAAGCCGGCTTCTTTCTCTCTCTCCGGGTATGCCGCAATCGAAGACTTCCGGGAGGCGGAGTTACAAGTCTGCAGGCGTGCTATGCGTGGTTGAGCGTGATGACGCGTTTCGCCGTATTCACGTCTACTTCAGATCTGCCCACTCTTGCCTGTCAGTTTTTTATACACGTCTTTGTGGGGGTGTTTTTCTTCCTTTCGTCAATACAATCTCGTAATTGGAAAAGCGTCCATATGGAGATAATTACAATCCCTCCAAAAGTGCAAATTTCATCTTTATTAAACATATATATATACACACACACACACATTACAATTATTAAAGGAACACTGGTATTACCCAGATCACTTCAGCTCAATGAAGTGGTCTGGGTGCCAGCTCCCCCAGGTTTTAACCCTTCAGATGTAAACATAACGGTTTCAGAGAAACTGCTATGTATACATTGTAGGGTTAATCCAGCCTCCAGTGGCTGTCTCTTCCTGACAGCCGCTAGAGGCACTTCTGCGCATCCAGCATGCAGAACGTCCATATGAAAGCATTGAGAAATCATTGAGAATTGAGGATCCTGACGAGAGAACTGAAACGTTGATCTACTACTGGCAGATGCCTGAATAAAAGTTTTTTCACAATATATTTCTTTGAAGTCCTTGGAGTGCTATCATTACTACATTTCTATATATATATATATATATATATATATATACACATATACACACACACACACACACACATACAATTACAATACATATATACACATACATTACAATTATAAAAAAATATATAAACAACATACAATTATTAAACAAACTATATATATACACACATACATACATATACACACACTGTAACAAAGCTCCCTGTTCCCCGGCTTGGTACCTCAGTCCTGGGAGCTCTAGTCCTTACGAGGACTTTCCCGTTGAATCCTCCAAACTGGACCAGTGATTAAAGAGTAGCCCTTTCCCCTCCCAGTAACCAGATGACATAGTTCTGGGAGTACAAGCTGGAATACGTTTAATGGCAGCCACAACTGGCCTTATATGCCGGTCCCCATGCAAGAGGCACTCCCCCCTGGACCTGAGAGTAGACTACAGTAAAAACATACACACAATTACATTGGTTCTCAGGTCCAGGACACTCCCATACAAAACAAGATAATCCCTCCCATGTGCCTGGGAGATAATTGAGTCAAGCATTGTATTAAACTCAATTATCTTTAAGCATAAAAAAAACACACATTTCACAACACCCCAAAAGTACCTTAAAAATACATAAAACCCCACAAATACATCCCCTGGTAGCCCTGATCTGGGGGACCAACATATCCAAATATCACCCAGATTGGTTCAGGGGTTCAGGATTTTCCTGGAAGACATAATTTGACCTAGCCGAAAATAGTTCCAGAGAATCGCGGCTAAGTGCCACTGGGGACAGACCGGGAACCACGAAGTCTTCATGCCGAAAATAGTTTCATGGAATAGCAGCTAAGTGCCGCTGGAGACCAACCGGGAACAGCAAAGTCTTGATGCCGAAAATAGTTCCAGAGCTTTCGCGGCTAAGTGTCACATGTTCATCCTCACCTTTGCACATTGATAGTGCTCGCCTTGCCAATAAACGCAGTAGTGCCGTTTAGCGACCATGCGTCAATGTCTCTGACCCCTGCAGCATGTTGATGGACGCCGGCCGCTGCGGATCCACACTGATTTATAACTCCACGTCCGCCCACGGCATGGAAGACGTCGACGTGCGTGTGACGTCACGTAAAAGACACACGCACGTTCTGGGGTCAAAGGCTGGTTTCGGCCAATCGGATCCACAAGAGGAGTATTTAAGGTTACCTATTCCTTCTGCTCTTTGCCCTGTCGTGGTTTCCCTAGTGGTTGTCAGAGTGTATTCCTGAGCGTTTATTTCTGGTTATTGACTTTGGCTTTGTTTGACTTCCCTGTATTCTGGTATCCTTAATGTAACGGCTACCCTGGTGTAGTGAGGGTACCAGCCGTTGGGGACGTCCTTTTCTTCCCGGCAGTCGCTGTGTAGTGATGGAGTCGCCTATTCCCTTCTGCTGGATCAGGAGTGGAAGTCAGGTACAGCTCTGAAAAGAGCTAAGTGATTAAGCTGCATAGATTCCCCTTTCAAGAACGAGACGAGGCTACGTTTTGAAGGGTCAAGAAGAACTAAGGATTTATTGACAGACACTCTCCTTTTATGCGATTCTGCCCATGCAAGGGAGACACCCACATAATTAGCAGTACAACCAATCCATACAATATACATTCTGTAAATCCCCTCCCCTCAGATAACTACATAACATAATTAAAAAGGAACATATTTTCCCCAAAGTTCGGATGTACCAACATATTTAGGGTACCAACATATTTAAAAATCAACTCAAATCGGTTCAGCCGTTCGGGAGATATGGGACTTAGAAGTTTTGACCGACCACACGGGCACAGTAGCCGAAAACAGTTCCATGAATGCTGGCCCTGCAGTCGGTCTAAGAACGTGGTAAAAAAAAAAAAACTCCCGAACGAATTCTGACTATTCTCTGGTATGTTAAGTCCGGCCTTTCGAAGGCCCGGTAAGACGTTACCTTTTAGCCCTTGGTATGATATAGATCTGCATGCGGGCTCAATTAGTAATCCTGACAAGTACCCCTGAAGTCTATTTACGGTTTTGGTCCATGCGAACGGCCGCCAGGGATCTAGCGTTCGGTTCAACGCACATGAATGGAAAGTGCCGAACCAGGGGAATAAAATATGGGTCTTTACAGTCGCTGACCTGGCCCATAGTCGGTGGGCAGGAGGCTGGCAAGCAGGGTCCTCCAGGAGTTTGTGGCAAAGTCACGAAGACAGGGGAGTTTGTCATATACACATTGTGACAGACCCTCTGTCCCCGAATTTGAAACTTTTAAAACCTTGTTCATGTAAAACATTCATCTGAAACAAATGCACATTGATTGTACTAAATGTTGTTCGAATAACAAATTTTCTACCGAACTGGAGCGTGGCGCTTGTTAACCTCCCTGCCCTTAATAACACCTCCAAAACCACGAATACCCCTAACGTTCTAAATGATCAACTGGGTGGTCGGCGTTCGTCTGCACAAACACACGGTGGCGGCCATCTTGGAATATGAATGCGGCCAGCTGTGTTTTGTCGTTGAGTGTATGGAACTAGAATCGGACAATCGACACAAGAACACCGCTGAGACTTCCACTCCTCGTTCTGTTCAGCAAGTTAATGCACGAATGGAGCGCCGTTCGTTAGATACAAAGTACCGAACTATATATATTCCCTACTAATATGCACGAACAGCCCCATTCGTTTCTTCTAATGGATTATTATACGAAAGAGACCGACTGAACAGCCTAATCCTCTGGAACTATTTTGGGCATGAAAACATGCGTTTGGTCGGTCAAAAGAGATTTCCACCTAACTTTTGAACCCCTGAACCGATCTGGGTAATTTTTCAATATGTTGTTCTCCCAGATCAGGGCTAGCAGGAGATATATAATTTATATGTTTCCCATATGTTTTCGTGGTGTTTATAAAATTGGGTAAAAACTTGCATTTTTGTTTGGAGATAATTAAGTTGATACAGTAATTAACTTAATTATCTCCCAAACAGAGTGGAGGTTTTGTGTACAGTAACTGGGAGTGTTCAAATGTAAACCTATGTTTTCATTGGATTGTAAATTTCATGTCTTGTGCCCCACAAGGTCCACCTGGGCGGTAACCTTGTGGGATAATACTGTATAAAAGAAGCAGCTGTACCATTAAACCTTCAGTTCTACTTCACCCTCAAGCTAGAGTCCTGTCTCTTATTGGGGGAAACGGCTATACAGCTATCACACTAGCTCTTGTAAGAGCTTCACTACTTGTGATGACTACTGGAATTATTAAACATATACACATATATATATATATATATACACATACATTACAATTACAAAAAAATATGAAGCATATTACACAATTTTATTTTATAAAAAAACTACATAAGATATACTCAAAAATATATAAAAATATATTCAAATGATAACTTACTATAAGGAGAGAGAGTAAATGTAAATACTCAACGTACTCAAAAGTCAAAATAATAAGAAACCCTATAAAAATTCATTAACAATGTAATAAGTCAAATTCTATATTTAATCCTTTCGGTTCTAAAGGTTTTAGCCTATATACCCATTTCATCTCTTCCTTACCAATATCTAGAATATGATTACCCCCACGCCATGATTTTTTTACTATTTCAATAAAGACCTCTCGGGTCTTTATTATGGTATTTTTAAAATGTGCAGAGACACTATGTTGTTCATATCCCTTAACAATATTATTCACATGTTCAGATATTGTCTTATGTAGGGGATTAATAGTCTGCCCTACGTATTGAAGTCCACATGGCCATATTAAAAGATAAATTACATTTTTGCTAAAACATGAGAGAAAAACTTTTATAAAAAAATTCTGTCACTAAATTTAGTTTCAGGTGTATTTATACCTTTTAGAGATACATTTTTATTACATTTGCACTCTGCACATTTATTGCACGAATAAAAAGCCTTTTTTTATCATCTAAAAATGTTCTTGGGATTTCTTTTTTAGGGTGGTTAAAAGTTAAATATGTTTAAGATTTGGCGCTCCTCTAAAGATGATGAAGGATTTCTCAAGAATAATTTTAGATAGCTCGTAATCCTTTTTTTAAAATATATTTTTTATTGTAATTTTACAGAAAATTAAGCATATATGGTCAACAGCATTTTTACATTATTTCAAACAATACGGTAAATTGGATTATTCCATTGCGTAACCATTCAGGTCCATTCTTAAATGGATGGTCATTAGATTTGAGTATCTAAACGTTAATATTGTCTAGGAATAGATTATCAAAAATACTGCCTTCAACGAGGTATATCTTGCACAACATATAACATAAATATCACATACAACATACAACGTAAGGACACCTATGGAGGGTAAAGAGGATGGGAAGCTCCAATATAGATTCTTTAATAATATTGAATCAATCAAGAACCATTTTAGGGATAATATTGATAGTATTTTGCCAAGTGAATATAGCTAAATATAGTCTTGCCAGGCTTTTATTTATTTAGGGAATCTATTCTTTATAATAATCAAACCTGTTTTTCCATATTTTGTTATAGGTATCAATATTGTTATCTTTAAAATAGACATCCTTTTCCATTACACCTGGATATTGGATTTGGGCTTTGAGCTTTATTAAGGATGGAGATTCAGTATGTCTCCAACTGCCATTAAACCGTGGATAATTAGATATAAAGATGGTCTAGCCATTTTTGGCATATTTAGATGAAGTAAAAATCTTTCTGGGGACAAGGTGATATCTACTTTTAAGTCGGAGATAAGGTTAAAAAACACCCAACTTAAGGTTGTCCAGGCCAGTGCAGTCCCACCAAATATGTTTAAGTGAACCTAGTTCACTTTTACATCGCCAACATACGTTGGAGGAATGTGTTTGAAATTTGCATAATTTAGTGGGGACCATATACCATGTGTGGATGATTTTTTAGGAACATTTCTTGTATATTTATACAATGAATCATTTTCCTTATTAATTCAAATGAGTTTAACCAATCTTGCCAGGAAATCTGATTTATCTAGGTCAAGTTCCCACTTAATAACGGTGTTCAGTTTAACTTCTCGATTAAGTGTATCCAAGGCCCTTCTAGTTCTTAACCCCTTAAGGACCAAACTTCTGGAATAAAAGGAAATCATGACATGTCACACATCATGTGTCCTTAAGGGGTTAAAAGGTTTATTATTGAGCTCCCCATAGAGGATCTCATCAAGGGGCGAATCTCTGATTATAGAAGTTTTATGAAGGAAATCGAATATTATTAGGCAAGTAAAATATTAGTTATTCGATAAACCTAGTCTTCCTTGCAGGTACAGAAAACTACAAATCCCTGAAATACCATATAAATCTTGGATTTTTACCAAGTTTCCAACCAGACAGAGGTCTTGGATAAAAAATTTCAAGATTTCCAAAGGAGCATTTATGGAAATTTGATTTTGAGAAAAAATAAATAAATATTTCTTTATCAGATCAATAGATTGAAAAATATGGGAGATAAGTAAATTATCAATGTGTAGATTTTTAAACAATTTCTTATCTACCCAGAAAAGACCAAGGAGTTCAAAAGTATCACACAAGTATAGTGGCACTCACCCTTTCAATGAATCAGTAAAAGACTGCCTTGGTGCAATCCCACGCTGGATATGTAAAGCAAAAAGGAAAGAGATGCACTCTCAGGTCTTTGTAAAAAAAACTCAATATTATTTAATAACAGGTAACATACATCTGATCGATGTTTCGACCTCTTCAGATCTTGAGGAAGACCTGAAGAGGTCGAAACGTCAATCAGATGTATGTTACCTGTTATTAAATAATAGAGTTTTTTTTACAAAGACCTGAGAGTGCATCTCTTTCCTTTTTGATATATATATATATATATATATATACATACATACATACACACACACACATACACACCATGCTTTTGTTGTTGAATTTCTGTTTCCCCATTCTAAAAAAATGGAAGAACATTACAGTATCATGAGTATAAAATATATTCGGAAAAGTTAATCCTGCTTCAGCTAATCTGGTTGACATAACTTTAATTGCGATCCGTGGTTTCTTATTGCCCCAGACATAAGATACAAATAGACGAAATAACTGAAGTGTCATCTTTGGGACTCTAAGGGGAATTGTGCGAAAAAGATATTCCAATTTTGGAAGTAAGTATGCTCTAATAATATTAATTCTTCCAAGCCATGATATTTGTAGTTTAGACCAATTTAAGATAGCATTTCTAAATTCTTTAAGGAGTGTATTATAGTTATCATTGATCCACCCTTCAATATTAAAATTAATAATTATCCCTAAATATCGAATGGACTTAGACCAGTTAAATTTATGGTCGTTATTCAAATTTTCTATTTTAAGGCTTGAAAGATTATAATATAGAACTTTTTTTGCGTTTTTTGCATATTAATTTTATAGTTGGAAAATCTACTGTATTCTTCTATACATTGTATTGTAGATGGTATAGAGGTCTCAGGGTGCGTTAGTGTCATAATTATATCATCGGCAAACATGGTTATTTTTTGTTCTTGATCGCTTAAAAACACTCCAGTTATATTGTCTAATATATACCGCCAGTGGCTCGATAGAAAAAATATAAAGGGGTGCCATGGACAACCCTGACCGGTTCCATTTTTAATAGTAAACCAATTGGAATCTAAGCCATTACCATATATTTTTGCCACAGGAGAAGAGTATAGGGACAATGTTGTCTTTAAATGATCCCTCAATCCCAAAAGCAGAAAGTGTAGCTGACAAGAATTCCCAATTTACCTGTCAAATGCCTTTTCGGCGTCGACAGCTATAAAAACTGAAGGGACAGATTTTTTTATCTACTTCTATCATTAAATTCAGGATCTTACAAATATTGTCACTAGCTGATCTTCCTCTTAAAAATCCGGACTGATCAAAATGAATTAAATCTGAAATAGTCGGGGGCGGAGCCTAACCGCGAGACAGGAGAGACGCCATTTCTGGTAGCTCCCCACAAAGCAGCGAAATCCAGCACAATCCCCCTACTTATCAGACCCATCCCGCTCCAATACCTGCAAGAACGGACTGGGGATCATCCGCAACACCCATTGATGCCGTTCCTATACTCCCCACAACAGGGGAAGCTGAAACGCAAGCCTGGGGCCTACTTCCCACAGGCGCCCGCTTACCTCGAGGGGCTCCTCAGCAACCAGAGCCTGTACAGTGCCGCTGACGCCTGACTGCCGCATCCCTGCACACACACACCAACCTCCAGCAATGGGACGCAGATCCCAGAAGCCACAGCCTGGCAACAACACGGAGCAGCGGGACATCGGCACTTTCATGAGGCAAGTACCGACCAAAATGGCGACCACAGACGGCCCTGAAGGCCCACACCTCCCAACAACCCCAGATGTGCCAAATCTGACCCCCAGCCCGACGCCAGGAACACAAGGGGAAGCACAGACTATCTCCACAGACATCCCTGGGGGGACAGCCCCTGCCACTAAGCAGGACCTCCATAACATGCAGAATACACTGCTAGAAATACAGAGGCTCCTCACTGCAGACATGGCTACCCTAAAATCAAGCATGAGACAGATCAGTGAGAGGACGACTGCTGCTGAAGGGGACATGGGAAAAATACGCGGTGAACTAACAGAAATGCAAAGCACAATGCACCAATTCCAAACTGCACAGCACAACATGGCGCTACAACTAATCGCGCAGGAAGACAGACACCGCCGCAACAATGTTAAAGTCAGAGGGGTACCCCCCACGATAACAACGGAGGAATTACCCCACTACATGAGGAGGCTTATTGCCACGCTATTACCAGCGGCCCTAGCCAAAAAGTTCACCATGGCTGGACTGTACCGCCTACCTACCATCACCAAGACCTCGACCCCAATCACGGGCGATGTAATTATTCAGTGCTTGTCACCCCAAGACAAAAGCTACATCATGACAGCAGTGAAGGGCAAGACCCCAATGTCATTCGAAAACTCGCATCTAACATTCTACCAGGATCTCACCAAGGCCACGCTACAATGGCGCAAATCGTTGGCACCCCTCACTAGCCACCTACGCTCAGCGGGAGTAGCATACAGATGGGGGACACCGAGATCCCTTCTTGTATCCCATAATGGAACTGTTCACAAGCTCTCAGCGGAATCGGAAGCAGGAGCGCTGCTCCAGGCTCTGGGCCTTCCAGACGTCACACCGACCACCTCTACTACACCTCCTACCCAAGCCTGGGACCCAGAAGCAACAGTACCATTTGTGCCAAGAAGCACGCCAAGACCCACACCAGCCACCTGACTGATAAGGGAGAAGACACCGCCCCACGTTGGGAAGCAATCTGCAACAGTTCATCTATGTTATATATCTGTACTTTCCGCTTTAGTTCTCTGTTCCACAATACTAACATGTTACCCTTTTGGTACTCATACCTTCCATGGCCAGGCCCTACTGGGAGCAGCTTAAGCCCTGTCTCGAAGGTACATACACACTAGGCACACCCACCAGAGGTGTACAACCCCCCCCGACGCCCCCTTGGTTAGGGGCATGTACCTCTTTTGGGAACCACATAGCCCGCCTGACACTACCTACTCCACTACTCCGGCTACCCAACGAATACCTCACACTCAACCCTCATGAGCCACGCAGCTACAAACCAACACTCTACAACCACCCTCACGTCACTCACTCGTTACTAATAAACACCCAGTATGTTAAAACCCCGCATCCACTCACTCTAACTAGCCCACATATACTGCCTCACATCGACCTGGTAGAGGATTACCATCACACAACCTAAATACGTTACTATGCACCGACTCCTCAACCGGGGCTACAACCCTACTACATTTATAAAAAATGTGTGTAATGTCTGTAATGTTGTACTAGTTTCTTGCAAACCTCATGCACTGTGTGATAAATGTTATAAAGTACTATCACGAATGTGCCCGTCCTTGTTGTTGTGACAAGGCGAGCTCCTGTATAATTCGCTACGCACCAAAAATAAAGAATTATATAAATCTGAAATAGTCTGAGTAAGTCTGCTAATCTAATATTTGTGAGAATATTTTTATATCAAGATTTATGAGAGAAATCGGACGATAGTTGGATATATAGTGTGGGTCCTATCCAGGTTTTGGGATTGGGGAGATCGTGGCATTTAACATTTCGGAGGAAAAACTTTTAGAGGTTATTTTATCTGAAAACATTTTTAAAAGTAAAGGAGTTATCACAGTCTCTAAGGATTTATAAAAATAGGCTGTGAAACCATCTGGCCTGGGTGCTTTCCCATTGCTAAGCTTAATTATTGTTCTTTTGATTTCTTCAGATTCAATAGGTTTATTTAAATTTTCTAGTTTGTCAGGTTTTATTTTAGGAAGATTACGTTTTAAAAGGAAAGCCTGTAGTTCGCTATGAGAAAATTTGTTTTAGTTCAGATTGTATAATGAAGTATAATATTTTGCAAAGGCCTTACCTATATTATAAGGAGAGACACACAAGTGTTTTCACCGTTGATGATCTTTTTTTATTGCGTGTTTTATTCGGTCTGGTTTGAGTTTATTTGACATCGGCTTTCCTACTCTATTGTTACTACTATACCATCTTTGGTTCAGGTTAGTAATTGATTTTTTAAATTTTATCTTCTAAAATTATTTTTATTCGAAGTTGAACTGTTTTAATTTGTGTTACAGTGAGCATATTTGGATTCATTTTATTACTATGTTCAAGTTTGGAGAGTTGTATATAAAGCTCCGCTAAGTTTGCTCCTCTGGTTTTCCTGTTTTTTTGCTCCATTTGGATTAAATTCCCCCTCATTACACATTTAAAAGTTAACCAAAGAGTCTCACTAGATACTTGTCCATTGTCGTTGATTTTAACAAATTATTTTGCCAAGTTTTCTAGATATTTTCTATTTTTTTCTGATGTTATAATTGATTCATCTAAACGCCACTGAGGTCTATGTATGTAGTCTGGTTTAATTTTTAATATAACACTAATGGGGGTGTGATTTGACCAGACATTAGGGCCAATTTCAGAGCTTGTAAACTTCTCAAAAAAAATAAAATAAAAAATAAATTCTATTCTAGAGTAACTTAGATGAACTTTAGAAAAAAAAAAAAGTAAAATCTCTTTCATCCAGATGTTGCATCCTCCAAATGTCAAATAACTTCTATTCAGAAAGGATATCCTGAAACCAGGTACCAGGAGTTCTATGAGGATTGATTGAGTGTTTAAAATCCCTAGATCTTCTATTTTTGCATCCTAAATAGTGTTCCAGTCACCTCCAATAATTAACACCCCACTTTTTGATTTTCTCAATCTTCCTTAAGGCTTTCCTGTAGAAAGTTTGTGAGAATATGTTAGGAGCGTATAAATTAGCTAAGGTATAAATGATAGTATTCAGTTTACAAACAAGAATTGAAAATCTTCCAGATTAATCTTTTTCTATGTGAATCTGTTCGAATTTAAGCTTGGATGAACAAATTATGGCAACTCCTCTTTTCTTCTTACCCAACATACTAGCATTCATGATATATGAGAATCTAGAAAATTTCCAGAAGGGTTCGTTATCTTTCCAGTGTGTTTCTTGTACACAACACACATCTATTTTGTCCTCTATCTACATTCTATAAAGAAGACCTCTTTTTACCGGGGAGTTCAAACCCTGGGCATTTATGGAAGCTACTTTAATTGACATTGTTATTTTTTGTAACTAATATTCTTCCATAAATGGTTCTAACGGTTTCAAATGGATCTGTCCATACCCATTCTCCACAGGTGTCCTTGTACATACTACACAAACAACAATATGACATAAAAACCAAGCAGTACACCACCATAACAAGATAATACATATCATAGAGGCGGTTACCCTGAGAGGTCTAAACATTCAAAAACATTCACACACAAAAAAAAAAAGTGAATCTCAGGGATACTCAGTCGCTGGTGGCCATCTGTGGCCAGGAGATTAGACAAAAAAACATAATCATTGTAAAAATATGGAGCGTAAAGAATTCAGTCCTCCGCTTGTGTTTAGCCCTTAGTAAATTAAGCTAATATAAAAGTGAGGGGAAGAAAATCAAATAAATAATATCTAATTTAAGTCAGAAAATAGACATTATTATTTTGTTAAAAGTGTGATTTTGTTTTCTTAGGGATCGTAGTTGCATGTATAAGTAATTTACATTATTTTTTTTAAGTGTCAGAGGATATTCAAATAGTGATATGTTTTAGCTAGACATGTAAGTGGATGATTTAAAATGTAAATTTATATAGAAAGAGTATTATAGTTTAATGAGTGACAAAGGCAAATAATGAGTTACTGAATACTACGTGAATATTAATATTGAAAATTATTTGATAGATTACTAACATTATAAAGCTTCTAATTTTTTTCTATCTTCCCATTACTTCTCTTTCTCTCTCCTCCACCAGCTTTATTTCGCCTTCCAGTTAAATGAGGTTATTAACATCGATCTTCTGCAACCACGAAACAAGCCATATATTAAAGCCAATTTTTAAGCCTAAAATGTAAGGCGTTTAATCCTCCACTTACATTTGGCCCTTGGATTAGGTGGACTAGTATAGGAAGGGGAGAAGAGAGAAAATTAAATAGATAATTGTGTGATACATAATATAAGACAATATGGAGACTAACTCGTTATCCTTTTTTAAAACATGCCAATGTTTATTTACAATTAACCTATTTTTTTTTTATTTATTTTTTTAAATCCTGGTTAAAATCAAAGACTAGAGGTAGTGATTTTTCTTTATTCGTATTAATTTCGGTTAGGGATTTAGATTCCTCCAATAGTTTTGTTGAATCTACATTTATTACCTCTTCATATGCTTTCTCTAGAAGTTGTTTCGGGTATTTTTATGGGTAAATTTATCCATCAGCACCATGGCTTGTTCTTCAATCTTTTTCTTTATCCCTACAGTTCCTCCTAATCATTTGGAACTGCCCTTTTGGGATAGTGTCAAACCAAGGTGTGTAATGGCCACTATTGCAGAGGATATAATTACTAGTGTCTACCTTTTTAAAATAATTTTTAGTTTTTAATCATATTATTTTCTATTTAAACTTCTAAATCTAAAAAATTAATAGAAGACACACTAAAATCACTAGTTAGAGTAATACCCCAATTGTAAGTATTTAGTCTTTCTAAAAATACTTAAAGATTTTCTTCTGAACCTTTCCATATAAAAATTAAGGTCATCTATATATCTAGGATTTGTGACTAGGTTTGCCCCTTATTCTCAGCAACCATATATAAAAGGTATTTTCCCAGCCTGACATGAATAAGTTAGTATAGCTGGGGGCAACCTGGTCCCCATTGCTGTCCCTTGTAAATAAAATTTTGAATTAAATATAAAATTATTATTTAAAATCAAAATTAATACTCAATTATAAAAATTCTATATGTGCTTCAGAACATTTTCTTGACTTAAACAACCTTTTACCACTTGACATCCAGATCGTGAGGGATAGATGTATATAATGAAGATACGTCACTTGTGACCAAAATATAGGATTTATCCCATTCTATTTTGAAAAAAAAATATTAAGATCATCTACTGTATCTTTCAAATAGGAAGGTATTTTCTTAACTAAATCTTGTAGCCAAGTATCTACGTATTTTGACAGATTTGCAGAAATTGAATCAATGCCCGAAACAATGGGTCGTCCAGGGGGGTTCTCTCTATTTTTATGCACCTTAGGTAGGGTGTAGAAAACTGGCAACCTGGGAAATTCCTCAAGGGGAAACCTATATTCATCTTCATTTAGGATGCCATTTTCCTTACCAATATCCAATAGTGCATATAGAGAGAGTTTTGCATATCTTGAAAAAAGGGTCTTTCTTTAAAACTTTATCCTGTAATTAATTGTTTATAGCATTTACTAAGATAATTGTCTGTATCTCAAATTACTATACTCCCCCTCCCCCCCCCTTTATCTGCTGGTATTCTATAGGAGGTGGGGTGTAAAACACATTAGGACAAATCTGCAGTCAAATAAGGTGGGCTGCTCTTTAGGAGAGAGCAAGAGACAGGTATGTGAGGTAGAGGTTAATCTGGGAGGCCATAAGTTTTTCCTACAGAAATGGGTTTTAAGGCACTTCTTAAAAGATGCAAGAATAGGAGAGAATCTGATGGCGGTAGGCAAGCTATTCCATAGGACGGGAGCCGCCCACGAGAAGTCCTGCAAGCGTGAGTTGGCGGTACGGGTGTGGACAACGGACAGGAGGTGGTCACGGGCAGAGCGGAGAGACCAAGAAGGGACATACCTATGGATCTGTGAAGAGATATAAGAGGGGCTAGAGTTGTTCAGTGCTTTATAGGTATGTGTTAGTACCTTGAATTCACTCCTATAGCATACAGGGAGCCAATGTAATGCCTGACAGAGGGGTGAGGTGTGAGAGGACCAACTACAGAAGAAAATCAGTCTGGCAGCAGCATTCATTACAGACTGTAGGGGTGCACTATGGCTTTTGGGAAGACCAATCAGGAGAGGGTTACAATAATCCATGTGGGAAATTACTAGAGAATGGACAAGCTCCTTAGTAGCATCTTGCGTAAGAAAGGGACAGATGCGGGCTATGTTTTTAAGATGGAATCTACAGGATTTGTTAACAGACTGGATGTGAGGCCAGAATCAAGTAATTATATAGGCCAATTTGTCCTTTTGGAGGGATTGTAATTATCTCCATATGGACGCTTTTCCAATTACGAGATTGTATTGACGAAAGGAAGAAAAACACGCCCACAAAGGCGTGTATAAAAAACTGACAGGCAAGAGTGGGCAGATCTGAAGTAGACGTGAATACGGCGAAACGAGTCATCACGCTCAACCACGCATAGCACGCCTGCAGACTTGTAACTCCGCCTCCCGGAAGTCTTCGATTGCGGCATACCCGGAGAGAGAGAAAGAAGCCGGCTTTCTACTTTAGTAACCCGAATGTTTATACTGTTGGTAAAGGGGGAGTTTGGATGAAGCTGCTGTATGCTTTATGTGCAATAAATCTGCAAAAGTGGATCGACTGCCTCTGTCTTTTACCGCCCGAGGAGGGAGTGTTATTTGGAGCTGTCACAGTTAGAGCAGTCTCATTCTGCTCTACTTTTGTGAGTGTACATTATATAAATTATATTTTGTATATAGTTACACAGATTTACACTATCTGCACTTTATTACCCCCTTTTTTTTTTTACATGTTGATACATTGAGATGAACAACATATGAATTTTATTGTGAGTGTTTTTTACCACATTGTTGCACATTATATAAGTGACATGGAGCTGTATGCACTATAAAGCAAATTGCACTTCTGCACATTTTAACACTTGCTGCACTTTAAATGAGGTTTTGTCTTAAAGACACAGCGCACCTATATAGATGTCTTACACACAGTAAGTACACACAGTAAGTGCACACAGTAAGGTTAAATCTTCCATCAATTTTTAGCTATAGAAATTGTGCTGCATTGGTTACTGAACACACACACACTGCATTAACTGTTCAGACACCCTATTACAGCACGCACTGCATTCTCTAGAGACACTCCCCTATTACTGCATTTAGCAGAGCCCCAGTCCTAGCAGGTACTCTCCTCCGCTGGTTACACAAAATATAGTCAGGAACAAGCAATAGAATCCAAGAATCTCCCACCTCATCCCTAGCAACTGGACGACACTCAGTTCTGGGTGTATAACAATTTTATTTCCACGTACACGCTTTTATGCCAAATCCCATGCAAGGGGTCTCACAGGCAGAAAATACAGGGGCTTTAATTCCAAGGTCCTTTGTGCCTGAGAGATAATTGCCTGAGTATACTCCTTTAATCTAATCTCTTGTGACAGACCCTCCGTCAATCGATGCTCCTAGTGCTTACCAAGGACAGCTTGGCTGGGAACTCCCTGTCGGGGCCACCCTCACACTGACTAAATGAAAAGGATTGGAGTCGTGGGCGCCAGCGGCCTGTAGCTGGAGATGGTTCAGCACTGTATCTGAAGGAGTAATGGCTACAATACAGCCTTTGGAGCCCGGCTGCGCATCATTTACTTGTGTCTGTGGCCAATATTACTGTAAGTTATTGGGACTGCTTGGTTGGCCCAGATACACTCAGACAGCTTTAACAGTGTCGGGGGCACCCCCTAAAGGGCCTAATGGAAGTGCCGGGCCTAGTCAGAAGCTCCTGGTATGAAGTCTGGTACAGAGAACATGGTGGGTGTGACGGACGCTCCATCAATCGATGCTCTTAGTGCTTACCAAGGACCATCACCGCAGTCCCCACATCCAGCGTTACAGCTTGGCTGGGATCTCGCCGTCCTCTGCCCACCTTGGACCTACGACAAGGCTTCAGGTTCCAGTGGGTGAACCTCTCCTCCAAGAGAGAGTAGCAGGAACAAGCTCTTAAAAGAGCTTTGGAATTATAGCCCCGGGGAGTATAGTGATATAGCAATCTCCAGGGTAGATGCAGCCTTTTCCCCCCACACATGAGACAAGGCTCTATGTTGAGGGTAAAACAGGAACTCAGCA